GGGGCGGGGGGCGGGGACCCGCGAGGCGACGGAAGGCGACGTCACCGCCGATGCCATGTTTGTTGAGGGCAAAGCTCGGGCTCGTTCTTTGGGGAGCACCAAGCGCTCAGGTGGATGGAGCGTCCTCCCAGGGACCAGGGGGTCCTGGTTCGATTCCCGGTGGGGCACGTGCCCGGGTTGTGGGCTCCACGCCCAGTAGGGGGTGCAGGAGGCAGCCAGTGGGTGTGTCTGTTGATGTTTCTCTCCCTCTCCCTCCCTCTCTATCTGAAAATCAATAAAAACATTTATAAAAAATAAAGGAGAATTTACTCTTTAAAACAAACAAACAACAAACAAAAAAAATGCTTCCGGATGACCTGTTGGAGGGTGAACTTCTGGTTTTGCAGGTGGGGAAACTGAGGCTTAGAAGGAGGAGGCGGGACTGACCCAGGGGCAGGCCACGGATCTGCTGGCCTTCAGACATCCTGACCCCCGCGCCAGGGCGCTGGAGATTGGGTTGGGCTGTCCAGTTTCTCATCAATGGATGGGCACAGAGTTCTGGCAGAGGGGGCAGTGGGACAGGCACAGGCACAATGGGCCAGGGAGGAGTGTCCGCAGGGCAGGAAGTCCTGGGTGCCTAGCAATGGGCAAAACTGGGAAAACATGAATCACAGGCTAGGCCAGTGATGGTGAACCTGTGACACGCGTGTCAGAGGTGACACGCGAACTCATTTTTTTGGTTGATTTTTCTTTGTTCAATGGCATTTAAATATATAAAATAAACATAAAAAATATAAGTCTTTGTTTTACTATGGTTGCAAATATCAAAAAATTTCTATATGTGACACGGCACCAGAGTTAAGTTAGGGCTTTTCAAAATGCTGACACGCCGAGTTCAAAAGGTTCGCCATCACTGGGCTAGGACCTTACCCCAGGTGGCCTCCCCTCCCCTGGCATGTCGCTGGCCATGTGGTAGACCCCTTCGAGGAGGACAAGGGGGCCGGGGAACAGCCTCACAGACTCCCACACAAGCCCCTGCAGGACCCTCCCCTGAGCACTGAGCCCTCGGGACAGTGAGGTTCTGACCCACATCACATCATCGGAGGAACAGAGCTGCGGGTCTGCTGACCACAGAGACAGGGTTTTGGTCAGACGAGAGGTAACATCTAGGCCTCAGTGTGTCTCATCTCCAGGCCCAGAAGAGCAGCGGAACCAGACAAGGCGAGGCCGTGGCCGGCATCAGGCCCAGCTGCACTGACTGATGGCCTCCTGCCCTAGTGCCAACCCCTCCGTCCGTCTGTGGAGACCAGGACCCTGTAAGGACACACCTGGGAAGCTGATGAATATTCTATTGAGACCTTCCCAGAGACCTCCCCTAAAATTCCCACCTTCAGAAAATAGATAAAAACCCTTAAGACCAGGGCCCCATGTACTCGCTCCCTCCCCTCTCTCACGCCCTCCCTGTTCCCCCTTCTTTCCTCAGCTGCCGACCCTTTGATTTCCTTCTCCTAAGCTCCCAGGGCCCTTCTCTCCTCTGTAACTTGTTTCCCGAGTCCATGAGGCCCAGCTGGCTCACTCCTTCCACCTCTGACTTTCTAAATAAACTTCTTGCGTCAGAGATCTTGCTCTGAATTTTCTTAGGCGAACTCAAAAACAAAGGCCTAATACATCATTGTTAACAGTTCCCCCGTCCCTCTGTCTCTCTTTCCTTTCTCTCTCTCCCCTTACCCATCTCCCTCTTTCTCTCTTTCTTCTTTTCTTTCCTTTCTCTTTCCTCTTTTCTTATCCCCCCCCCTTTTTTCCCCTTCACTAAAAATGATAACAGAAGCCCGGATGGTGTGGCTCAGTGTTTGAGTGTCGACCTGTGAACCAGGAGGTCTCGGTTAGATTCCAGGTCAGGGCCCAGGCCCAGGCTGTGGGCTCCATCCCCAGTGTGGGGCATGCAGGAGGCAGCTGATCCATGATTCTCTCTCATCATTGATGTTTCCCTCTCTCTCTCTCTCTCTCTCTCTCTCCCTCCCTCCCTCCCTCCCTCTCCCTCTCCCTTTCGCTCTGCCATCAATAAAAATATATATTAAAAAAATGGTAACAGAAGAAAAAACTGGAAATAGTAAGTATGGAGAATTGAAAAGCAAACAAGTGGTTGAGAAAAATCTGGGAACACGCTTTCTTTTGGGAGGGAAGGGGGAGGGTGTGTTAGAGGAGACGTACAGAACGCGGGGGTCAGGGGCTCAGCCATGGTTGGACTGTGGGACTTGGGCAAACACACCGTGAGCCCTGTCCAGTTCTGTGTTCCCATCCGTGAAATCCAGGGTTGTACTCGGCGATCTCTGAAGTCCTTCTCACACCTTGGCACTTTCTGAGTCCATGAAAACAGATGGTGCAAGATAGAGGGTTGGCTTCCTCTCTCTGGGCTGACTGTAGTAGACAGAGCAGACACGTCTTAATTCCTCATCTGTGAAATGTGGTTAACAATAGGACTTCCTATTGTTGTGAAAGTTAGTATAGTCCCGAGGAGTCGAGTGAAGAAATCAAACAGAGTCACTGCCATCAAGCAGTTACATGACCGAAATCGGTGTTTTAGTTCAGCCCAGACCCGTGGTTGGCAAACTGTGGCTCTTGAGCCACATGCGGCTCTTTGGCCCCTTGAGTGTGGCTCTTCCTAAGCCTTAGGAGTACCCTGATTACGTTTTAGGAGTACCCTAATTAAGTTAATAACAATGTACCTACCTATATAGTTTAAGTTTAAAAAATAATTTGGCTCTCAAAAATTTTTTCAATTGTACTGCTGATATTTGGCTCTGTTGACTAATGAGTTTGCCGACCACTGGCCCAGACAGAATTCAGAGCAAGGGTTCTGGTAGGTTGAGGAAACAGTTCGATTCCTGTTCTAACCAGCTCCGGAACGCAAACGTCGGAACTTTCCAGTCCCGCGTTAATGCCTGAATACACACCAAACCCCCAGAGAACCCTCTGATGACAGGCTCGTGTATTTAGGCCGCCAGCTGGTGAGAGGGTGAGCATCTCAGACCAACCCAGAGGCTAACACGCAGCACCAAGCCTGCTCAGGAATGTGCTCTTTTACTGTACAAACCCTCAGCTTCTCTCTCTTCTTCAGAACGCTCCGGGCCTGGCCTGGTTGTGTTTCCGGTTGGCAAACCCTCAGACCCTCGAACAAATCTTTTCCCCTTATTTCTAGCCAAAGCCCCTGATTCATTGACACCCACTCAACAACACCTGGGCACAGTCAGCGATGACTACAGAAATGTTCCCTGTGATTGTTGCTCCATTAGCCGTCTACTTAAGGCTCCATTATCACGGAAAAGCTTGGTGTGCCTTATGCAACCGCACCGAACATGGGGGCCAGGCAGCCCCCTCCCTCTGTGCCGATTCCCCTGGAGGGACAGGAGGGGATCTAAAGGTGTTGCCGCTGGAAATGCCAGCGGGGAATGGTAGAGGGATTACCCGAGGTCAGACCGCTCAGGGATGCCGGCGCTGGGGGTTTCCGTCAGCCTCAGAAACCCGGGCAGGTGTGGTCCTGGTGCCCCTCCCGGGGATGACTCAGCGGGAAGAGAGCCGCTGGCCTCCCGGACCAACCCTTTCCTGCTCCCAGGGGCATTCCCAGGGCGTCCACACAGCCGGCAGCCTCCCCCTTCAGGCGGATGACCTGAGGTTGGCTCAGGCGGTTCGGTGCAGGTGGGGAGCCCGGCTGTGCTGACAGGGTGCCTCCCGGAGTGGACAGGCTCTTTCCTGCCTCCCCCTTGCCCTGGCACTCAATGGAGCTGCGATTGCTGTGTGATTGGCCAGGGCTCTCCCCAGGGCGGTACCTGCTTGCTTCCCTGCCCGAGATTCCTAATTGCTTCACTGTCAGGGGTGAGGGGAGGCTGCCTTGAAAAGCACACAACAGGCACCACCCCACCCCAAACAGAACCCCGCCCTCCAGCAACCAGGTAGTGCCTGCATACACCCCGAAAGGACGCCGGACCTCGATACTGTATTCACCCGCATCGAGGCACCCGCCGGGGTTTTTCCTCTGCTTCGAAGACTTGCCAGTTCACATCTGGTCAGCATTTCCCTTTAGGAAACTCTCAAGATTTCCTGCGTAAAGGGAACCAGGGGAGAAGGGGAAATAGAGAAATCCCCTTTTAAGAAACTCCCTTGCTTCATGCCATTGCTCAACCACAACTTCCCTCAGGGGCCAGCCTCCCCAGCCCAGGACGGCTGCTGCCAGGGATGTCCGCTCTGCAGAGTCTGATCTCCATAGCAACCCCGTGAGCCAGTGTGGAGGTGACAGGGGCAGAAAGAAAATGCGGGGGACCAGCTATAATGGTAAGAACTACTAACCAGGCTCTGTCTTTATTCCGATGAAAGAAGGCACATTCTCACCTGGCCGGGAGGGAGTCGCACCTGGGGCCTGGAAGCTCACCTGGAGATGCAGGTTTTCATGGGAAGATGAACAGCCTTGTTGCAGAAGCCAGAATCGCCAGCCCTTTGAAGACCCCCAGCCCTTTGCATACCCGCAGGCCTCTGCAAATACCTGTAAACTGCCCACTTGGCATCCCTCCCCCATGGAATCTTTGTGCTTCTACCCACGAGAAGCAGCAGCTGACGGTGGGGGGCAGAGCAGATGTCTGTGGCTGACCTGCTGAGCTCCCACGCTGCCGCTGGCAGGATTAGAATAAACGCTCAGGTGATTCAACCTTGTTGGCTCCAGTAGTGACAGGCAGCCCGGACCCCCTGGCTGTCCGGTTTCAGAGGGAGGCACTTCCTCCTCCTCCTATTTCCATGGGAGAGAGGGGTTTCTGAGGCCTGTTCCCTGCACCGACCAGTCCCCTTGCCTCCCACTCACTTCCCCAGGACGACAGGTGACTTCCAGCGAAGGCTCAGCGCTGGGCCGGACCCCCTGTCCCCGGCAAGGGCATGTTCCTCCCCGCTGTCTGCGGTCGCTCTCTGTGTCCGCGGCTGCATGAAGCCTTTTCACCTCAACCACATCCTCCGGTCCAGCCTGGTCTCCTCCGAGGTGGCATTTCGGTCTCTACCTGTCTGGCACCTGCTTTTGCTTCTCAGTCCTGAAAGCAGGAGAGGGGTTTCTCTGGCCTCGAAAACTCCAGCAGCGGTGGCTGCTACTATCACCCCCATGTCAACGATGAGGCAACAGGAGCACAGAGAGGCTCTGGAACGTTCCACAGAGCTGGTAAGGGCAGCAGTAGGAACAGGCATGTGAATCCAGGCACGTGCGATGCCATGACGACAACCCTTTATATGCAACCAGCCCGCTTTTCTGCCCTTTCCCAGAAGTGAGCGAGAGGAGGCAATATGTCCTTGTGACCAGCCCCCTGGCGCTTAGGGCCTGCCGGCCTGCGGATGCTGTCACAGCGGATGGACCTGCCCGGCTGGCGTGGCTCAGTGGTTGAGCATCGACCTATGAACCAGGAGGTCAGGGTTCGATTCCCGGTCAGGGCACAGGCCCGGGTGGCGGGCTCCACCCCCAGGTAGGGGCGTGCAGAAGGCAGCCGATCAATGTTTCTCTCTCATCATTGATGTTTCTCTCTCTCTCTCTCCCTCTCCCTTACTCTCTGAACTCAATAAAAAATATATTAAACAAACAAACAAAAAGCAGACGGACTTGCACACATAATGTTGCTTAATATACCCGGCCAATCTGATAAACAGACCCGACGTGTCCTGGCCGGCAGTCCGTAGGATGGTGTCTCTCTCAGGCTTCCTCGTCAATGACATCGAGGGCTTTAGAGTAAGAAACAGGAATGCAGCTGTGCTCCGGCCGCACACAAGTTTTAGTACGTTTGCCAACTGCTGGGTCTCTCCTCTCCCCGGTCCCCAGTCCATGCCGCCGTCCTCTCTCCCTCGGAGGCAGTGGGGTCTCCGCACACTCTCTCCGGCCTCTCTCTCCCTTGCAGGAGCTGCAGCTGCTCTGAGGTCCGAGCAGTTATTACCACATCAGGACTGAGCCAGAATCAGCGCCTCTCGGCCCATCTCGCCAGGCCAGCGCTGGCCCGAGGCCCTCCGGGAGCATCTCCTTAGGCCCAGAATAGAGTCCGAACCCCTTGTGTTGCGGCCTTGCTAGGCCTGTCTCCTGCCTACGCTCTCCACCTCTCCACCCGGCCAGCTTACACGGCTGCCTCAGGTGTTTGCACACGCTGGTCCTCCCTCCTGCTTTCCTTTCACTCCCTTCACTCCTGCTCATCCATCGGATCCCAGTTCAAGAGGGACTGTTCCCAGGAGTCCTTCCCTGGGCTCTCTGATGAGTCAATCCCCTCTTCACAGGCTCGGGTGCGTGTGTGTGGGGTGGGGTGGGGGGGCCCTTTCACTCACAGCACTAGGGCCAGCTTTACATATGTTTGCTTGTGTGACATGATGGATTGTGTCCATCCAGTTAGCATCAGACCGTCAGCCTCTGTGGGCAGTGACCTGGGGCTGGATGGAGCCTGCAGG